TTTTAAAAAGCAATAAAACGGTCAAGTTGTTATATGTTACTTTTATGTGTATTACTTTTGTGAAACAACGAAAAGTAGATGCTTTCCGAGTTGTTCTGACTTTTTATCTTGTGCACAACATAATTCTAGCTTTTACTTCTTTCAACTACGATGTAAAAAGTTCACAAAATATAAAGAATAAAATCTTTTTTAAATCAACAATTTTTATTGTGTATTAGTTTTGTTGAGTGTTTTAAAGAAAAAAAGATTTTTTATGTGTAAAGCAAAATTTTAAAAAAGATAGGAACATTTTTATGATTATGTATAAAGATTGTATTTAAAACATTTCTATAAAAGGTACATGTTATAAATACACTAGCTGTGTTAGATTATAATAATTTATCTAAAAATGACAAGAAAAAAACATTTGATCTGGATTTTCAGTAAAATAATATTAAATTAATTTGCTTAGTATGATACAAATAAAACACACACACGCACATACTCTCTCTCTCTCTCTCACACACATACACACACACACGCACACACACACACACACACACACAACCGCACACACAACTTAAAAAATTTAAATCATTTTAAAGTATAACATAGTTTTTTAATTTGTTGATTAATAAAGTCAAAAGTGCCCTAACAAGGTTGTGGCGAGTGAGACTAAAGTCTTAAAAGCACTAATTTAAACATAACAGTGGAATTTATAACCTCGAAATAATTCGTTTTTTATATTTATTGTTAACTATATTTAACTATATTTTTAAATAGTTCAAATTTAGCAAAAATGCTTTTTTACTTTTTGGGTTTTATTAACCAATAACTTCATTAAATCAAGAAAAAATAGTAAAATACTGTAAATATTCAATCATGTAATTTTTCAAACAATTTTCATTAACTTGTAAGCCAATATATTAGAAATTGAAAAATTGTAAATTATGTTTAGCCTTAAACAAAGCTTGCTACGGCAACGAACGTCCTGTTATTTGCTAAGCTATATGCTTGGCAAATAAAAGGATAAAACAATTTTAGAAAACTCTGAAAATAATTTATCATAGTTTCTACTTATAATTATATAACTGTGATACGTGATGAATTAAACAAATATTTTGTATCAGTTGGTCCAAATTTAGCCAAAAATATTCCTTTTGTGATTAACAAAATAGATGCTTATGATTCAAAAAATCTTCTCCTTTCAAAATGCTTAAAATAAATAAATCCGTTGGTCACGATGGAATTAATAGTAATGTTGTCATCGACTCGTATGAACCCTTAAAAGATGTACTATTTAAAGTTTTTCGTTCTTCAATAAAACAGGGAATATTTCCAGATCATTTAAAAATAGCTAAAGTCACTCCGGTTTTTAATATAAGCGATCCAACCAATATTATAAATTATCGCCCAATTTCTGTTCTTTCTGTTTTTTCTAAAGTTTTAGAAAGAATTATATATAACGTTATTTATAATCATCTTACCTTAAATAATATACTATACATCAATCAATTCAGGTTCAAAAAAAATAACTCGACAGAACTCCAAATTACTCGCAGTATAGCTGAATCTTTTGAGAAGTCCTAATATATTATGGGAACTTTCATAGATTTATCAAAAGCGTTTGACACTATTGATCATCGAATTCTCCGTAAAAAAATAGAATACTATGGAATTAGAGGGAATGTTTTAATGATACTTAAAAGTTATTTAAACAACCGTAAACAGTTTGTTTATAGTAATGAAAGTGGTACACCTGATTTATTAAATATAACCTGTGGAGTTCCCCAGGGCTCTATACTCGGACCTCTTTTTTTCTTAATCTACATCAATGATCTGCCTAAAGCGTCAAATTTAATGACTGTCATGTTTGCTGATGACACTAATCTTTTTTTTTATCGCATAAATGTATTCTAACATTATTTCAAACTATGAATATCGAATTAGAGAAAATTTATGAATGGTTCAAAATGGATAAATTGTCACTATATGTGGATAAAACAAAATGGTCACTCTTTCATCCGACTTCTAAAAAGAAACTACTGCCTCCTAACTTGCCCTTACTTCTTATAGACAAAATTCAAATAAAAAGAGAAATAAATACTAACTTTTTAGGTGTCCATGTTGATGAAAACCTTAGCTGGAAATACCACACTAATTTTTTGTACAACAAAATTGCCAAATTTTTTGTACAACAAAATTGCCAAATGCCTTAAATAAACAAATTTAAAACAATTATATTTTTCTTTTATATATTGTCATTTAAACTATGCAAATATTGCTTGGTGTAATGCCAATAAAAGTAAACTAAAACCCTTTTTATCGTCAGCAGAAGCATGTTGCTCGTCTTATCAATTTTAAAGACAGATTTACTCATGCCAGGCCTCTTTTATCAGAAATAAAAATTTTTAATATATTTCAGCTCAATGTTTTTAATACTCTTTGTTTTATGTACAAATGTAAAATAAATTCCTCCCCAGTTTCTTTCCATAATTTACATACCTTGAAAGATAAAAATAAAATATGAGAAATGACAATTTAGTTTGGCAACCTTTTTATCAAACTAATTTTGGAAAAACAAACGTTGCATTTCGCGGAGCTTTTCTTTGGAATAAAATAGTTTTAAAACATTTTGACTTTTCTCTAGAATGGAGTTACCTCTCATTTAAAAATAAACTTAAAGAAATAATTTCGTCTCTGGATAATATATTTTTATATTTTTAAACGTTTAATAATTCATGTAATATTTGATGCATTTATGCTGTAAAGTTTTTATAGAGATATACAATTATATTTGAATATAATTTATTGAGATTGTAAAATACGAGCGGTTCTCGATGACAAGACCTAACAGTCTTCTGCGAGTCTTCGCGTTCTTTATATAAAATTAAATAGCTGCATAACTATATTCTCTTTTACTTAGTTCTTATTGTATGATTTTATTATTTAAATGTTAACGATTTTATTGTACAACGATTTACTAAAATGTTTAAGAAAATAAAAAAATTACAATAAAAAAAACTCAACAAAATACCAATAAAGGTGTTTTTTAAAGTTTTTTAAAAAATTTTTTCAAAGTCTTTCTAAAAAATTTTTTTAATCTACTTCACAATATTTTACCATTAAATTTTCCCTAACAACTGCCAAAATTTCCATGGAAAGCAAAAAAACTTACATTAAAAAGTAAAAGTTGTTTCAAAAAAATTAATTATCTATACAGAAATGTAAACTTAATTTGAACGTTTAAAATTATTTATGTAATTTGCTTTTTCATAAAAATTAACTTACTCGTGTAAGTTAACAAAATAGTAAATAAAAGAGCCATCCCTATCCATAGCCAACAGAAATATATAGTTTTGCAAATTGATATTTACTCAGCGCATAAAATCAAGCGGAAAGAGTTAAAAAACTGATTTGCTTTTTGTGTTTCTTCGTTTTGGGTTGGCAACTAAGAAAAACGATTTTTTTTTTCCAGATGCTGATTGATATATAATCCATTGCCAGCTTGTATAAAAACTTAAGGAATGCAAGTTTTTAATAAAAATCAATCAATCAGAACGCACAACTAAAGTCGGAATTTTCCAAAAAAGAAAGAGATATCTTATATTAGATTTCTCCTTAAATGTACAGAGTAATCTAATATATATCTATTTTGTTGAATCTATTATAAGCCTATGCTGATTAGAGTTTATACTATAATAATATAACATAATACTATATATACTAACATAATAATATCAGGTAACTTCAGGTAAGATTTTCTTGAGACTTTTTATGAAATAATGTTTTATTCACATAAGTTTACAGACAGTTTATTTGCTTTAAACCATATCTACATATAACTGGCTAATTAATATTCAATGAGTCAAAATTGCAAAGTTTGATTAGTCAAAATGACAAATACATTTGAAACACCATCATCTCAAGTTTTTATCATCTCTAACACAAGAATCTATACCCGTACCACCATCACCAGTAACTGCACTGTTTTAGCCACTGCTTTCAGAGAGTACACCAATATCTTAAGTTGTATAGCATTAGCTTCAAAGTCAACACGCTTTTAGCTAACTATGTAATAACTGTCTATTCACAAGAAAATTCAAGGAAGTTGAAAAACAATTGTATTCGGCTTAATTGATGAGAGTAACTTTGCAACAAATGTTTTGCATTAAACTTATTGTAAAAAAACATTTTTAAAGATACCTTGTTAGCTACAAAAGCTAAAAAAAAATAGTGAAGAACGCTTTTTTTTTTCTTCTAAAAATACTAATTTAAAAAAATACTCTTATAAAATACTATGTGTCAACCAGTAACAAATTTCAAAACAAAGGGGTAAATATTTTTGAGGAGGTTCTCCGAGGGTTTTTATTTTAACTTGAAAGAGGTATCTTCATGCTCTTTGTATTTTCCAAACTCTGTGATAAACATACATGTATCCATTTATACGCATATATGCGTACCAGATGCACCTGATATTATTTAATATTAAGTAGGACTTAATTTTTCTTTCACTTTTACATAAAATGTGAAAAGGCCAAAATATTTTAGGGGGCATCCATAAAGTACCTACGCTGATTTAGGACCCCCTCCTTGTACCCAACTGTATGCTTTCAACGATCCTTTTTCCTCTGCGTACGTACGCATTATTTATTATCCCCTCCCTAACTCAAATCTTTCAAAACATTAAAAACAAAAAACCTTTTAGTCATTCAACATTTTTCTATTACTAACATAATATTAATTTTTAAATCGTGAAACTCGATGCTTTTTTTTTTTAAATCAAGTTTTAGAAGAGATAAAGAAACTACGTACGTATTGTACGCATTCGTACGTTTTTGGGTAACCCCCGATTCTTCCTCCATATCTGCGTACGTACTTTATGGAAGACCCCTTAAACTGTTTTCGTTTATGAACATCGCGTTTTTGAAATTACCTTACAGTAAGTAAGTTACAGTAAGCAGCAAGCCTGCAATTTAAAAAATTGATAAAGTTTCAAGCAATATATAAATACTCATAAGTATTTTGGAAGTGTTTTCTTTAAAACTAATTCTATTTTCACTCCTCGCTTAATTTGTTAAATTGTTTGCTTAGCAAAAGTAGTGTCTAGATTAAACGAGATTAAACTAGATTAAACGAGATTAGATTTCGGAAGACTATTGTGAAATATTCAAATCCATGTTTATGCAGAGCAAACCCACTTTTGATTCGAATCTGTTAATTTTAGCAGTAACAAGTAGAGTTTTCTTGTTTTTTATTTTCCAACTTTTTACTTCTAAATTTCATGTTATCCATTCTTTCGGGATATTGTTTAAAGCGACTCATTATCTAAATTTTATAAATTTGTATATGTATATATATATATATATATATATATATATATATATATATATATATATATATATATATATATATATATATATATATATATATATATTATATATATATATATATATATATATATATATATATATATATATATATAAATTTTTTTTTTAAATAGATTTTTTTATTTAAATCAAAACAAATTTCTTTTAGATTTAAATAAAAACAATTGTAGGATATGCAAAAAAGAACTGCAGGGTCTGGTAGCAGGAATGGAAGTACAAATGTTGTCACAAAAACAATACAGAAGATGATATAACGTACATTTTATAATAATAAATTATTTTTTGGAAGTAGTATTATTTAAATTATATAATTTTTTTAGAAATTGAATTTCAAACTTAATGCAACAATCAATTTGATCTTACTAAACAATCCTCAGGATCATCTTTTTCTGCAGAAAAATTTAATTTAAACATATCTGCGAAAAAAAACTCTGTTCTCACACTTCTAAATATCTTGAAGAACTAACAGCTTCATCAATTAAAAGAAGTGTCATGTAGGAAACATTGTTGCTGATAATGCAACTAATGTATCAAAAATGAATGACGATCAGATACTAATGTAGCTACATATGGTTGCTCTGCACATTTAATGAAAATGTAAGCATATGATCTAAAAATTGACAATGTTAAAAATCATATAGTAAATATTGCCAAATATTTCAGGAACCACCACATTGCTTTGGCAGAAAAGCTGATTGATTAAGTCTTGTATTGCTTCAAGACTCACTGAAATACCATTTTTGACTGCCAAGTCAAACATAGTATTTCAACGAGTATCTTGAGGCAATAATAAGTGTATACTGCAAATTAGTCTAATGCTAAAAATCTGAGTCTAACCAGGCCATAACTGACAATACAAGGGATGCTGAGTCAATTACGTTATTATTATTAGTTCAAATGGACTCTGGCTTTATATCTTTATTTTTTCCTGGTCTATGCAATACAGAAACTCTGAAGATGGTTGATTTAAAATTATGAGGTTTAATGACTTGGAACTTATTGTTTTTAACCCCAGAGTCCTTTTCTCCGAAGAGAAGGACTCTGGGTTTCAAAATTGATTGTTCCTTTAACCTGAAAGTCTTAATTTTTTTTCTATTAGTAGTCCATAAGCTTTTTTATATTTTTATAGCAGCTGAATACCAAAAAACTAGGGATAAGTAATGTTTTTGTCTCTTTTTGATCTTTTTTAGGACTCTAGCTTATTCATTAAGTGACCTGCAAAAGATCTACTTGCTCGCTTAGAACCTATTCTTTTGCACTTGATAAAGCACAATATAAGTATATTAAATTATGAAAATAATATGTATATATATAAGTATATTTTATTATAAAAATTATAAGTGACAAATACAAAATAGCAGATGTAGTGGAAGTGTGGAAGAATCTAGAAAACAAACGTTTTTTTAAAAGTAAAAAAATTGTTCAAAAGAAATTCAAAAAAAGATAGGAAAGAAACCATGCCATATTCTGGCCTATTTACTTCACCTTTATTATAAAGATCAGGTGTTGAATGAAGTTGAAAAAAGTAATGTGTTTTAATATGCCTATCTACAATACCCACATCATTCCTACAGTTATGAAACTCAGAGGAAAGTCAAACCTATTCCTGGAATTTAAATTTTAAGAGTCTGTTCAGTGTTAAAGATCACATTGTGATAACATCATAAGTAAAACTTAAACACAATTTTGCAATTGATGAATGTGGGAGCTTTATCTGCGTGAGAACAAGTGTTTTTTTCTTACATTGGGTATATTCAAAACTGAAAAATAAACTGGGTATGGAAAAAGCTGGCATGCTCGTGATTAATTTTAATGCCGTACACTGAGAATTAGTTTTTGGTTTTAACTGATGATTATGTTGATTTATTTGTGTTTGTGCACTATAGCTTTCCCTATAGTATTTTAATCTTACGGTATACTATATTTTATTTTAAAAGAAAAAAAAAAAAATTTTAATAATTTTTTATTATTAAAATCAAACATAAAAGGAAAAAATTTGAACCTAATCATTAGTTTTAATCATTACCAAGAAACCATTTGATTTAAATTGGCCAACCCTGTTTACACACACGCACACACAGATATATCTATCTATCTATATATATATATATATATATATATATATATATATATATATATATATATATATATATATATATATATATATATATATATATATATATATATATATATATATATATATATATATATATATATATATATATATATATATATATATATATATATATATATATATTTATATATATATATATATATATATATATAATTTTTTTTTTTAAATAGATTTTTTTATTTAAATCAAAACAAATTTCTTTTAGATTTAAATAAAAACAATTGTAGGATATGCAAAAAAGAACTGCAGGGTCTGGTAGCAGGAATGGAAGTACAAATGTTGTCACAAAAACAATACAGAAGATGATATAACGTACATTTTATAATAATAAATTATTTTTTGGAAGTAGTATTATTTAAATTATATAACTTTTTTAGAAATTGAATTTCAAACTTAATGCAACAATCAATTTGATCTTACTAAACAATCCTCAGGATCATCTTTTTCTGCAGAAAAATTTAATTTAAACATATCTGCGAAAAAAAACTCTGTTCTCACACTTCTAAATATCTTGAAGAACTAACAGCTTCATCAATTAAAAGAAGTGTCATGTAGGAAACATTGTTGCTGATAATGCAACTAATGTATCAAAAATGAATGACGATCAGATACTAATGTAGCTACATATGGTTGCTCTGCACATTTAATGAAAATGTAAGCATATGATCTAAAAATTGACAATGTTAAAAATCATATAGTAAATATTGCCAAATATTTCAGGAACCACCACATTGCTTTGGCAGAAAAGCTGATTGATTAAGTCTTGTATTGCTTCAAGACTCACTGAAATACCATTTTTGACTGCCAAGTCAAACATAGTATTTCAACGAGTATCTTGAGGCAATAATAAGTGTATACTGCAAATTAGTCTAATGCTAAAAATCTGAGTCTAACCAGGCCATAACTGACAATACAAGGGATGCTGAGTCAATTACGTTATTATTATTAGTTCAAATGGACTCTGGCTTTATATCTTTATTTTTTCCTGGTCTATGCAATACAGAAACTCTGAAGATGGTTGATTTAAAATTATGAGGTTTAATGACTTGGAACTTATTGTTTTTAACCCCAGAGTCCTTTTCTCCGAAGAGAAGGACTCTGGGTTTCAAAATTGATTGTTCCTTTAACCTGAAAGTCTTAATTTTTTTTCTATTAGTAGTCCATAAGCTTTTTTATATTTTTATAGCAGCTGAATACCAAAAAACTAGGGATAAGTAATGTTTTTGTCTCTTTTTGATCTTTTTTAGGACTCTAGCTTATTCATTAAGTGACCTGCAAAAGATCTACTTGCTCGCTTAGAACCTATTCTTTTGCACTTGATAAAGCACAATATAAGTATATTAAATTATGAAAATAATATGTATATATATAAGTATATTTTATTATAAAAATTATAAGTGACAAATACAAAATAGCAGATGTAGTGGAAGTGTGGAAGAATCTAGAAAACAAACGTTTTTTTAAAAGTAAAAAAATTGTTCAAAAGAAATTCAAAAAAAGATAGGAAAGAAACCATGCCATATTCTGGCCTATTTACTTCACCTTTATTATAAAGATCAGGTGTTGAATGAAGTTGAAAAAAGTAATGTGTTTTAATATGCCTATCTACAATACCCACATCATTCCTACAGTTATGAAACTCAGAGGAAAGTCAAACCTATTCCTGGAATTTAAATTTTAAGAGTCTGTTCAGTGTTAAAGATCACATTGTGATAACATCATAAGTAAAACTTAAACACAATTTTGCAATTGATGAATGTGGGAGCTTTATCTGCGTGAGAACAAGTGTTTTTTTCTTACATTGGGTATATTCAAAACTGAAAAATAAACTGGGTATGGAAAAAGCTGGCATGCTCGTGATTAATTTTAATGCCGTACACTGAGAATTAGTTTTTGGTTTTAACTGATGATTATGTTGATTTATTTGTGTTTGTGCACTATAGCTTTCCCTATAGTATTTTAATCTTACGGTATACTATATTTTATTTTAAAAGAAAAAAAAAAAAATTTTAATAATTTTTTATTATTAAAATCAAACATAAAAGGAAAAAATTTGAACCTAATCATTAGTTTTAATCATTACCAAGAAACCATTTGATTT